AGAAGGGCATAGTTGCCCATTCTTGTCATCCCTTCGATTGAATGAATCAGGATTGGTCTGGTTTTCAATATAGGGTTTTTGTGGTCATCCATTGTACTGTTTCCTGTGTTGGCATTCCCACTGACTCTCCACTGTGTTATATCCCCCCTTGTTCTTCTAGTAGAGTTGGGAGTCCTTGCACTTTCCAGTTCCATACTGCTGGGTTGGTGGACCATGGAGGTATCATCCTGAATGTGATCACTTCCATTCAGTAGAGAGTAGAGTGGTGGTGTTCTGCTGGTTTAGATAGCATACAATACTCCAATCATGTACTTTACCTCAATGCAGTAGGTCCCAGAGTTTGATGGTATGTCTAGCTTCTGTGTGGTTCTACCTAGAGGCTGCTTTGGAGTAGATCCATCACATAGTAGTTCCTCCATTCAATTGGGACCCCTTATCCTACCATCATAGTGTTGGTAGTTTCCAGTGAGTGATTTTGGAATAGAGCTGGATCAATCAGTATAAATCCTTACATATCTGTTGGTCGTGATTCCCCATCCTCTCTCCGATTTCATAGTTTTGCCTCACATTGTACATCTCATTGTGGTGGGTCCCATAGGCTGATGTTGCACACACATTGCTCCAACTTCTATGTGGTCCTATCAGGAGGAGGATGTTATTTGGGATGAAGGTTCTCCCTCCAGCACTCTACCTTGCCCGAGGCTGCTGTTGTGCTGAGGGGTTTCCATCAGATTGGATTTGGTTTGATGTGAACTGCCACATTGGCACATCCCTTCATACCATCATTTGGATGTCAAATTCCCGAGTGTATGGTTGGTTGTGGATTTGCACACGTATGCCATGATTGGTAGATCAGTTTGACATGTATGTAATTCCATTCTACTCAACTTGAGGTGAAGACAGTGTGGACTCTCCTCCTACCAAAGGTCAGAAGCAGTAATCCCAAGCTGCTTGGTTTGGACTGGAGTTGACCAGCCTTGTACAGTCCATCATGCTCTAGCCACACTGCACCTTGGAGCACATCAATTTTAGCTTTCTCCACATTTCTGTCTGTAGATGGTTTTCCTACAGTCTTTCTTCACCGGGATTAAGATTCCAGTATATTGTGGTTCGAATTCAAATCCACCTGGTTTTCTCTCCTTTTTGGTTGTGCTCCTCCCACTTTCTGCCCATGTATGTGACACCTATTTTCATACTGGACACAGAGTATAACTGGTTCAGAAGTTGTGCGGTCTCCCAACAGGATCACAATTCAAGGGTGTTCTTCAAACACTTTCGAAATATACATATTTCTATCTCTTGCATTGGTCCCTCGAACCTCTTCAATGTGGGATTCTAGCTATACATGTGAGGGGAGGTAATGTACCATATCGGAGTTATTTTCCTATACTGAAAATATATTTTCGATAGGTACTTACCTCCTCTCCACTTCCCACCCTTCCTCCCAACTGAAAACTGGTGCTTTTCTTTTCTGCCCAATCTTGAAGTGATAGTTCAGTTTGGTAAAATTAAATAGAGGGAGTCACATGCGTCAGGAGGGTGTGTCACCCTCCTACTGGTGAGAGGGTTGTCACATGATAATTTACATGTGAGATGCAGTTGAACCACATTGATCGTGGGGTATGTGGGAGTTCAAGGCTTGTGGCATGGGAAAAAGTTTTGAATGTAGAGGGCAACACTGAACGAGAATAGCCATACATGTGAGAGGAGATAAGTACCTATAGGAAATATATTTTAAGCATAGGAAAAGAATAACTTTAAGACTCACCCAAATTCTGTTGTATATTTTAAGAAATTAAAGCTTATAATGCACTTAATGTTAACATCAGTTATTTTTGAGTAATAAATTCTTCAAGTGCCAAAAAAGCTCTAAACATTTGTGTCAGTGTGAATATTGAAAGAAGAGCTGTCTAAAAATAATGATACATTTGAATTTTTGTGTCATAAAAAGTTATATTTTAAATGAACCATCATAAGGAATATGTTTATTAATTTTCATAGTAATATGTCCTTTCCTTACTGGTAGCTTATTTGAGTAAAGACAGTTAACTAGCATTAGAAATAGAATCTTTCAAAGATCCATCTTGTAATGAAGTGGTTAAATAAAATATCTTCAAGTTTCTTAAAATAATGTGAACTTTCTTGCAGGAGCTCATGTTTAGTTTGATAGTTTGGTATTTCACACGACTTACATCAAGTTCTGCAAATAAATAATATCATCAGGAATAAAGGTGATATTAAAAAAAAAGAATATATCTGTAGAAATCGAGCCTACACCATCAAAAATTATATATCAGGTAATGTATATGTTGTTATCATGTTTTTGTTTATGCATGAACACAAATACGTATTTGTAAGCTATGCCATGTAAATTCTTTCTTATTATTTGGTTTCATTTCTTGAACAGAATGATCGGGCCATAATAGACTTTGGAATAGTTTCAAATAGTGGAGCAGAAAAGATAATAGTTATCACGTTTTCTGTGACCATGGTTAGAAATAGCATTGTTGACCAGAAGAAATACTATGTGACTGCTGGTGCTGAATATGACAATGAAAATTATGTGTGGGTTGGACAGTCTGAAGTAACAGCTAATGATATTGCACCAGTAAGTTTCAATTATGCAGGTTAAGCAGTAAGTAATTTGATACTCTGAAGGTTAATGCTTGACAAGCACCTAAACTTATGTTCGAAAATTCATTTTTTTAATTGTTTGATCAAAAGTAAAGTTTATTTGAATAAGCATGAAAATATAAAAACAAAATGCATGCATTACCTTTGAAGTTTGGTATTTTACCCAAAGTGTGTGACAAGATAGGTAAATTTGCATCATTTGAGTATCAGGACTTAAGGATACTGGTGCTTATGGACTCATGTTTGAACAGTACAGATAATATAGTTTATTTTGTGCTATGTCTTATTATATTATTACCAGGTTTTTCTGAATTCAAGGTACTAGGTTGCCATGATACCTAAAAAATGGTCTTGGATCTGGAGAATTTTTTATAAGAAAATTGTGCTGTTTTGTTTATGCAGTAATATTTGCAATATAATTAAACATCACAGAAAAGATTTGGTACAGCATTAGAATTTGTAGTAAATATTGAAGTATTGTAAAGAAAGTAAATTAAAATTGAATATTATTCTGTAAAGATCTTTAGATTTCTAATATTTGACTGCCAATTAATAAAACACAGGTACCAACAAGTAGACCTTGAGATTTACATAATTATACATCAGAAAGAAAGGTTTAGTTTACCTTTAAAGCATTGTTAATATCAATTTTATAAATATAGGAGTGTATTTTGTTCATACCCAAAATGCACCATGCACAAAATTTAAAATTGCATCACAAATTTTGTTCAGGAATGATGAAAGTGACTCCTCCTTACCTAACTGGGTTAAGCTATTATTTTGGCTCCTATAATTTTCTGGAAGTTTCTATAGTTTTCAATATTTTTTGTTGTAATAAATGAAATCTTGCATCTTATTTTACCATGTCAAACAATATTTTGTTATTTTGTAAGAATCTTAGCTTGAATAGTTTGTAGGTAATTTTTGCTGTGTGTTTTGTGTTCTAATATTATAATAATTAAAGATTTGCTTATTGTGAAGTTCTGTGCACATTATTAAAAGGTTTGTTTGTTTTTTACATCAAACAATCAATAAAATGTGTTGAATGTTATAACATCTTTTTTTTATATATTTTTATGTAAATATATCTAGTATAAATTATTGGCAACCCATATGGAAAGATTATGTTCACAATGATAAAAAACACCTACAACCAAAAAGGTTGGTAAATTACATTAAAGTAAACAAAATAAAATCCTGTAGTGCTTTCAACTTGTCTTTATCAGGGGTAAAGGCAGAATAATGGCAGACTCACCTGTTAAAAGTGCTATAGTTTATCCCTTTTTATTTTAAAATATTATGTATTATAGCTAATTGAAACAGTGCATCACAGAAGTATGTTTTCATGCTGGCCATGCATTTAGTTGAACTTAGTTGTGTTAACTAAGGGAATAAAACATCAAACTTCTGGCATATTCTGAGGATTTTCATATATATATATAGGGCATGATTTTCCTAGTTACATTGTAGTACTTAGATTATTTACTTTGCACATTGTAGTTATCTGAGTGATAGGTATCCTATATTTTGGAAACTTTTGAGTTGTAATAATGTGTTTTCACAAAGATTTTAAAGAATTAATACTTCTTATCTTTTTTTTTTTATATGAGATTGTAAATATGCTAGTGATAAACTGTTTGAATGACAAATTCATCAACACTCATTTCACAATACTTGTATACAAATTATCAAGTCAGTTGCTAAGTTGCAAGAGATCTAGTCATTACATGTTTAATTGCTTCTGATTCAAAATTTAATTTCAACAGCATGTAATAATAGGTATCCTTGAGTTGTGATTTCGGGGAGTAAGTTGGGAAGAGTGTAAGGTGTTAAGAGTTCAGATTATCTCTTACATGTTTTTGTTCTTTTTTGCTGGAATGAAGGGAGAAGATACACGAGAAGCAGAGGTGGATATCAGTGGACCTGACTCTGTTGCTCTCGACAGTGCTGGTATTTTCACCGTAGATGCTTATCTGTCATTTCGGTCTGATCCTGTTTCTTTTGAAGTTCTAGGCCCTACAGATGAAGAAGATGTCGTATCAGTAGGAAACTTGGGAATTATAGGTAAAAAAAATATTTGTTTCTGTCTCAAGATATAGTTTGGTTTACTCTTATGTATCATTCAGAACATTTTTATGATATGAAGCATATTTGCTTACATTGGATAACAAGTTCCTTACTTTGACTAACTGAGAACTGCATCATAAAATTATGTCAACTCTCACCAGTCCAGCTAAGTTGATAAAAGAGAATATTATCAGATAGAGTTTTATAGGTTTTCAAGTTGACTGCCTTAAACTGAATTAATGTTTTTTCCAAAAATCTTTAGAAAACTAAAAAGAATAACAAAGTAAAATAATATTTTTATGTTTTACAAACCAAAAGAATAAAAAATCACTATTAACAGCTACTCAATAATTTCACAATTTTCTAGTTAACTGATAGATTTTTTAGTGACTTTTTCTTTATCAATATAAATTTTAATAAATAAGAACCCTTCTCCAGAAATTTAAAGAATACTTAGATGGGAAAATATTCACAAACACATGTCACACAAAAGCAACAAGGCTAAACAAATATTAGTATCTCAAACACTTTTTTCAAGAAATGATAAGGAAAAATATTTTTTTTGTTACTCTTGACATAATGACATTTGTGAAGTTTGTCATACAAATACTTTAAGTCGTATTAACTTAAGAAATAAAATAATTTTAAAGTACAACACATAGTGTGTTTTTATCATTTTTATGTAGTGCATAACATTTGTGTCTTCAAATTCACTAGTTAAACCTGACCATGGAACATCAGGATTGAGTTCTTTGGTAACAACTGCCTCATACAGATCACCAATTGTTGACCCATCCACTGGCAAAACAACAGCTCACAGCTTGATACATCTGGTACTGTTTGTTTAGGTTACAGAAATGAACATTTTGTGTCCAAAAAAAATGATTATCAAATTGACATGTAAAAACTGGTAATATGCTGTCCTGTGCTGGTTTACTGTGCATATATTATCATGCATAACAGTGATAATATCTGCCTATAAGGCAATACTAACAAATCAGCAATTTACACAATTATACAATAGATGACACAATGTATGTGATCTAACTACAGCCCAGATGGCAACAACATGCTTCAAATACCATAAACACTTATTTTGATCTTTATTAAAAATGAAGGGGTGTGTTTTATATGAATATGTATGTACAGTTACTCAAATTGCTCTTTTGTGAATTATTAATAACTCTGAACTGCTATCAGCAATATTATCAAAACGTGAAACACATGGCAAGTTCCTGTATTTAATGACAAACAAACATATATAATTAAATGATGGTTATGTTTTAAATACAACACTTACAAACTGCAAATTGCAGCTGAACTGTGATGACTGGTCATGTTGTTGTGCCTATGTCAGTTTCTTTACAAGTACCATGAGGTTGAACATCTTGGCTATGAATAAATTCTGTTGACTATGCTCATCACCTGTCTGTTGTGATATAATTGTACAGTGATCTATGTTTGGCTAGATCTCTGCACAAAATGTTGTACCAGTATGGCCTGTATACCCACTGGATATTTACTGACTGATTATTCAAATACAACTTTTAATTTCCTAAGACAATACAGAGATAGTATAAATATAAAATATTGTAAAATATGTCACTATATGTGAACCTATATAATAGGTATTCTACAAAATTACACAGTTTTTACAAGAAAAAAAGTTATTGGGTGGGCTGCCATGCTTTGTTTTTTTTATAATTATTTTACCGCTATATAGTATTGAAAATTAGAAAATTTTATGCACAGGTATGGAGCTTTCTGCAAGGTTTGGATACTCTTGAAATAGGGTGTGTACTATACGTAGATGTAGGTTATGCATGGGTGTTTACTGTATATATTTACTGATAACAAAATTTGTGATTTTTCTGTTTTCATTGAGGTAAAAAATATGACAAAGTAATGTCTGCTAATAATATGCAAAAAAACTAATATCCACATATATATAAATCCACTACTCACAAAAATTAAAGGATAATGAGGTTTTGATGTGTTTTTACGAAATTTGAATAAAAAACACAGATGTTCAATATTGAAACTTGTTTATGACAAATATCACTGGTAAACAATACCAAGCAAGTTGAAAAATTCATGTACAAATCACAAACAAAAAAGCAAAATCAACAAAAAATGCTAATATTTGACTACATAATTATCAAAGAAAAAATAACTTATTTAGAAGAAAACACTTAACAAAATGAGTCTTTACTAGCTGGTAGGTCCTTCTCTATTGTCTATGACTTCTCTGTACCTGTTCCTCAGACTGCTGGTGACACTTCAGATGACATGCTGGGGCAGCATTGTTCACTCCTGGGTGAAAGTAGCTCTGAGCTACTGGACAGTCATAGCAGCAAATACTATTCATGCTAGATTAGATTTAGGTCTGGTGACTTAGCAGGCCAGGTATTCCTTCATCCTAAAAAAATTGCTGCAAGATCCTGGCAGTGTGAGGACAGGTGTTATTGTGCTTATACATGAACTCGTCTCTGAATCAGCAAAAGGGTGAATAATAAGTAGTAGGATCTTATCCACTTAACATCTTTCTGTCGGGGAGCCTCCATCTACCACATTGATGTCTGCAGATGCCCTCACAGACCATAATTAATCCATGCCCCAAAGTATCATTGTGGGCAATGTTACAGTCTAAATTTAACTCTTTCATATCTCTAGACCCTCACACATCGATTACTTGAAGATACACAGAACCTGCTCTCATCTGTGAACAGTACAGGGTCCCATTGCTGAAGGAACCAGGTGACATGCTCCTTAACAAATGCCAGCTGAGCTGTTCGGTGCCTTGAGGTTAGTACAGGAACTCTAACTGGGATCCTAGGCCTGAGCTTGGTCTCATAGAGCCTGTTCTTGACTCTCAGGTTTTTATAGGGCCACAGTTCTTTACAGTAGGTGTCTGTGACTTGTTGGCGAGAAATTTCAACAATAAACAGACAGCACACGATCCACTTGTCTTAAAATAATATATTCAAAACAAGTCAAACATATGTACAAAGAAAAAGTCTTTACACTATAAATTTTCACAGTTGAATCTATATATAGAGCTTTAAATAATTAATTTTTTCATCAAAGCCCACACAGGCTGATTCAATTACTTTACAACCCAATTGACAAGACAAATTATTTCTTCTCTCCTCCTTTACCACAATACAATAGTGATAAATTCACTTACGTTACCTTGTGGGTTACCACAATTGTTTCCAGAGCTTTAAATAATTCTCTCCTTTTTGTCAAAGTCTACACAGGTGGGTTCAATTACTTTAGAACACCCTTTGACAAGACAGATTATTATTATTATCTCTGTTGTTACAATACCACTGTGAAACCCACTTTAGATATCGCCTGTTAAGATTAAACTTCACTTTCACTAACTTAACTTTTTCTAACGTACTTTAACTATCTGTCTCTACTCACATTTATAACACACGACAGAAAAATCTAGAACTATCTAGCCCTCTAGTAGCAACAATATTACACATAACTAGAAAAACTTGGAAGCTTCAAGTAAGATGATGTCAACAATACTACAAAAGCCTAGTACAACAATTAAACTATGTACATAATGTATGACTCGTACAGAGTTATTTAACAAAACTTATCATAACTGTCACTTTTAAATAATTAACTTTTAACACTCTTGTTATGAAAACTAAATAATCATTAAATATTAAATCTCTAAACAAACTAAATAATAACTCTTAAACTGAATAGTCTTGTATATTCAACACTGACCATTGAGCATGATACGTGCACTCCAGTATCTTGCTGAAACTTGTTCCTGTAGCCCATAGCATTACCGGTGCAGTTTCTAAGGGTTAAATGCTGCAGCTATCAGGTGTCTACTGTACCTGTAGCTTTTCTGTGACTCTGGCCTGGCCTTCTGGTGTATTCACCTGTGGCCTGGTATTAGTGCCACAATCTACTGACCACAGATGGTGACACTCCCATCACTTGTGCCACCTCAGCCCTTCTGAAGCATTGTGACGACTCTGCAACCTTCAGGTTCAGTTAATTGGTTTCTAACAGCTTTATCTCAACAGTAAATGTCTTTCATAATTAATCAAAACTAGGCTTTTGATTTGCAGAATTTGGATCATTTCTCATAAAGGCTCATTAAATAAGGAATCATTGGTGCATAAACCTGCAAACCCTAGGTAGGGTTAGTGTGATTCTTTACAATGAGCATGCTAAATTTGTAAAAAATATATATAACCTAAAAATATATAAATTTAACCAAACATCATTATCCTTTAATTTTTGTAAGTAGTTTTAGCACAGAGGCTTCTACTGAAAATAATTCTGAATTGAGTGATTAAAGAGAGCATTAAGAATGCTTGTAAAAGGCAAACTTGAGAGTTGCTGACTGATTTTATTGTAATATGGAAGTTACCTAAAGAGGAAAAAAATTGGAACAAAATTCAAATTTCTGAATACGTTTCAAGATTATTGGGTATTTGAGGAATAAGGTAGAAAGAATGAGTGAACGTAAGAAAGTGAGAATGCATAGATACTTGCAAGAATAACAATATTGTAGAATCATTTGCATGTAATGTGGCTTTAGAATACATGTCAGGATCAGATCACTAACAATGTTGCTTGTTATGAGTGATGGTGTGCATGGTGACATTCAATAGGTAGTGGTTTGGTGCTTAACCATTAATTAATTACTTTTAAAAACAAATAAATATAAACATGGCTAAAAGACTAAGAAGAAAAATTGTATACTTACTGATTCCTTGGAGCAAGAAGAAACTAATTTTTTTAGTCTTTGTTTTCTCATGGGAATACTGGGGAAAAGGCTTTATATTACATCTAATTATCAAAGGTGCATTTCTAGGAATAGGAGATAGTAATTTAGAATTAAAAATATGAATGAACCTGATAATTGTTGAACAAAAACCAAAACTTTTTATGTTTGGTTTATTGGGTTGTGGAAGAGACTTCTTTAACTTTTATTGTAGAGTTTTCTTCAGATTAAAAAAAAAAACTAGGCAAATATTCTTTGAATCAGTTTATCATTTTCAACTAACTTCTGTAGTTGATCTTACTGCATTCTGGTGTTGCATATTTTCCTTTATTGGAATGGTGAGCACTTGGCCATAGCTTTTGTTATAAGTTGAAAAGTGAAATTGCTTAGATTGTATGTACTTACACAGTGTAGGAGAAATAAAATGAAGAAAATTCCAGCTAATCTCCTCCCTTTCATTAATTCTTTTCAACTTGATTTCTCATCTTTGAGCCTGAGAGTTTGGATAATTGCAGAAAGAAGCATTCAAACTCAGAGTGATAATAACAAGGTTGTCACAAGTGAGAACAGTACCTAGAATCAGGAAAACATTTTTAAACTCTAATTATAATTTGTTAAACAGTTACTTAATAAAATATTATAGCACTAACAATGTGTATGGCAAAAATTTTGACAAGCAAATTAATCTGTGATTACATATGTTAAGAAAGTTGTTCTTGGAATATTCAGAAGAAAACTGTGCATTGTTTTTGCTATCTAGATTTTGGAAGTCGATTTGACTCTATGCCACAAGATTTTTATCATTATAAGATGCAACGCACAGATTCTGAAAGTGGAGATTCTTATGTGTCAGCCGCAGTTGATATGGGCTTGGTAACAAACAGTGGTGAGTTAACATGATAGGAGATTGCCAGTAATACTACAGCTCTATTGAAAATACAGCTTTCTAAGTACTGCATGTAAGAAGGAAATCAAAAATAAAACCTGTAAATATTAAGAATAAATTAACGATTTCATATTTTATAACCAGTGTATGTTAATATATCAAAAACTATATTACATTATTGTAATTCATAGTGTCATTTTAGTCTAAAAATAATTAGAAGTGGTTATATTTAACACAACATTTAATGAATAAAATGCATAAGAAAGAGTATTTTATAATCAAATTAATTTTACATTAAGAATAGTAATAGTAAATTTGTTTCTACTATATATATAGACTGAATAATAAAAGTGTTCTTCATTTGAGCTAACTATGGTTTATTCTAAAAAATTAATAGTAATATTTTGTATGTTTAGTAATTGACTAACATTATTACAATGACTCAAGCACCCTTAATTTTTTTGTAAAGTGTTAATTGTGCCTCCCTCCCAAAAAATATTTATATATTTTTATTTTTAAAGTGATATTGAGTAAACAAACTTATAATCATCAATTGTTTAAAAAAAATCGTAGTTAATGTTTTCTTTCATAGATTCTTTTGGAAATCCTGTAAGAGATCCAAAGAACTTGATTCAAGCAACTTTTGCCATTTATGCATTAAATAATGCAACATTTGTTGGAAAGGAATTGACTTTAACAGCTGGTATCAGTATTGGAGGTTTAAAAATATGGGTGGCTTTGATTAACATAACACTAACTGCTCGAGTGGATGGAGAACAAGTATGTTGGATCTGTTAAAATAAAGATATAATAATCTATAGTACATTGTTTAGTCAGAAAGGTTGCAGGTACATATTTTACAGTGTTTTAAAAATATAACAGTAATCTTTTATTATCAGTTATCTTTAAAATTTAAAGTAGACTTTTTTAGCTCAGGAAATAATTATTTTTACACTGTAGTATCAAATAATGAAGTTATAATGTACTTAACAGTTTGTTTAAAGTAGTCTAAATTAGAGTATTTCTAAAGTTTTGGTTACTGTAGTTCCAAAAAAAAGTTTCTAATTTGTTCTGTGGTATTTGGCCACCATGTTAAAATTTGGTAAGATATCTAAAAAAGATGATCAGCCATGTCAAAAAAGAAAATTCTATTCAGTATGCCTAAATGTTCTTTTAGCTTTCCCATAACAATCAAATGTCATTAAATTTTTAATTTATCAAATTCTCACAGGATGGACTGATCTAAAGATATACTGTATTACTCATATTGAAAGTTAAATATGAAGCTACATATTTGTAGTTTACTAACTTAAAGTATTGTGTGAGAGACCTAACATTAATTGTTAAATTCTGAACTCAAATCTGAAAAGGCAAATATCAACTGAAGTTAAATGTAATTCCTTTGAAATATCTGGCATGAAATTAGGGATTCCAGCATTCAATGAAAATTCTGTAGGAAAAAAAGTTTTTGGGGTCAAGGACTTATACTTTAGTCTTATATTTTTTGGAGATGGGACAGATTTCAATAAGATGGATTTATTGACTTACTTGGGTGATTTAGTGTATAACAATATTTCATTTTAATTTGTTTGCTTAAAGATCAATTAAGTCAGACTCAAGACCTGCAAGTGAAAGTTCACATAAATATACAAAGTTTCAAAAACTTTCTTTAGTCACAGCCACACCAGTAGATTCTGCAAATTGAATTAATATTATTTATTATATTTCTGATAAGGACATAAGTATCAGCTCTTCCATACCTGTATTCCAATTTGAAAGACTGTGACTTAGCATTAAACTACTGAGAGAGAAATTCAAATTATATTTTCTAACCTTTCTATATATACACCTGGAAAAAAGTTAAGCACCCCCGTGTTTTTTTCAAGTGATTCAGATTCGACGTTCTTGTGACTGATTATAAATTACCATTCAATCTAAATGTGTTT